CAAACACATCAGTGGTATCTTATGTCAGGTCCAGGGAGATCCATAATTAGGTTTCACAGTTGTATGCAGAAAGTTTGGGGTGTGTTTTGCTTTTTTCTTTTTAAGTGAGAGATTTCAACAGATATTCAATAGTGGTCTCTGATGTAAGGTCTAAAAGACTTAACTGCTGAACCAGTGAGAAGACATAGACTCTGCCTTGCTTGGGACTGGGCTCATGGGCAGAGCTCAGTGAGTACTCACTGCTGTCTCAGGGACCCCTGAGGTCGGACTAGCTTTGTACAGATGAGGAAACTGAGGCCCAGAGTCACACAATCTTTCTCCTCTAAGCTCCTGACAAAAGGGCAGTCCAAAATTTTGTTTAGTTTATGTCTCACATGCCACAGGGAGGGAAATTACAGGCTTGAATTTTCTACAGTGCCCACAAATACCTGTACAAAACCCCCAAATGACAGTGGAATTGGACTGCTTTTTCTAAAAGAACCTTCTCCTGGGAGAGAAACTGGTTGTACCTACTGCTCAGAGCAGCCTGTAAGGTCCCAGGGGAAAAAAGTCCATCAACCTGCTAGTTCAGCACCATGTAGAACACACCAAACAGTGTATTTTGACAGATTTCCCCCCACTAATCAACTGGTTGTTTTGATCATATAAAGGCAGCCTGTCAGAGATGAAGCCCTCGTGAGACTCCACCTCAGCTTTCCGCTCCAGCTCCGTGTGGTTTGGTGTTCCTCAGAGCCAGAGCACGGTGGGGAGCTCTGAGGCCATGTCTCCACGGGCACAAATTGTGTGGGGCCTGTTGCAAGGGAGTAGGAAGTCTTTTTTCACTTAGTAAAGGAAATTCCGTATGTGTGTGTTCAAAAAAATAGTTCATTCATTCATTCAGTAAAGAATATTTAAAAAAAAATATTTGTCTATCAAATTAACGTTCCTCAAATGATAACTGATTTAGACAAATGGAGTTTGTGATGTCTATGGGTATGTGTGTAGTACAGAGTTTGCATATTCATCCAAGTGAAGATGTTGAGGAGACAGTTGAATATATGGAGCTCGGGGGCAACGTCTAGACTGGATGGCTATCAAGATTTTATTAAAACAAAACAAAAATCCCAAAGGGACAATAAGCAAGAATCTTAAGTAGAATAAATGAATCTTAAGTAGAATAAATGAATATTTTCTTGCATTTAGGTTTTGTTAGTGATAATAAAATAAGCAGAGACAGACAAGTGCTATTCAAATAGGAAAAAAAAAAACAGGGTTTTTTGGTTAACCACAAGTTCAGTTTGAACCTGAAGTGTTAAAAACAACAACCAAAAAAGGAACCTGTGGCTGTAATTACAATAAGAAGCATAGTTACTGGTGTTTAAGCACCTACAGGGGTGGGTACTTTATTTCTATCGTCTCTGTCCGAACAGCCCTAAGGTGGTGGCATCCCGGGTACACTTCAGCCCCTTCATGCTTGCACTTCCTGGCCTAGCACGCTGTTCTTGCCTCACAGCCTCTGTGGGCTGTTGCCTCCCCTGCCTGGAATCCCACATCCCCTTCCTGAATTCGCCGGGGGCTGAAAGCTCTTCATCTTTAAGCCTACACAGCATTTTCTTCAGAAAGTCTCCCCTGGTTCCCCCAACCCCTCCAGGCAAAGTAAGGTGTGTAGCCATTTGTCTCATTTCCTGAGTAACTGTGAGCTCACTGAGGGCAGGGACTGTCACATTCATCTCCTCGCTAAATGTCCTCTGTGCTTGTCAGACTGAGATGAAAGTATCATACCCAGTCGTAGGACCTGGACACTAAGAGAAAATGTGACAAATCGGGACTCACTAGAGGAGAGTGCCTGGGATGGCGAGGAGGCTTATAGCTTTGTCGTGTAAATAATGGATGGAAGGACCAAGATGTTCCTTCCGTTGTCCACTGGACTGTCATGGGCTGTACAAAACGCCTTTAAAACTCCGGAGGGCAGGAGTGGAATGTCACTCAGAACAAGGAGGGATTGCCTAAAAAATAAAACCATTTCACAACAAAATGGGCTGCTTTGGAGAGCAGTAGGTTCCCGTCACTGGCAGTTTTCGTTCAGAGGCTTAGTGTGCACTTAGGGCTGCTTTAGAAGGCATGCCGTGTTGGACATGAGAGGGGATTAGGTCCTCTCGAGGGTTCTTTTCAGCCCTGAGATTCTACAGTGAGCATTTCTTAGGCACCTGCTCTGTGCCAGGTTCTGGAGGCACAGTGGAGAATGAGACAAGCATGCCCTTGCCCTCAGGGAACCTGCACTATCTCAGAGTATGCCACTTTGGGTCTTCCAAGAAGCAGACTCCGAGACTTTGTGGAGGGTTAGAGTGCAAGAGGTTTATCAGGAACATCAGTGAAGGATAGAGGGAGCAGGAGCTGGCAGGGAGAGCCTCGGGCTGTGATGCAGGTCTGCTGTCTGCGAAAGGAGAGAGGGCAGGAAGGACTGAGTAGGAAGTGTCTCAGACTGCAGCGCACAGGCTGGTGAGGGGGCCCCAAGCAGAGGTTTCCCCCATGGAAGAGCCCCCATCCGGAAGGAATGGGCTGCTAGCCCTGCCATATTCAGTCCTTGGTGGAGAGCAGCCCCGGAGAAGCACGGCCTGTTTGCACACGCAATGGGCATCCAGAGATGTGGCAGCTGGGGCCGTTGGTCAGCTCTGCTCTCGTAACAGGCTCTCTTGAAGGAGATCTGAAGGGCACACTTCCATGGCTGCCACACAGGATTCTGGAAAGCATTGTCCTCTCACACAGTACCTTCCTGGATTTGCTCCCGCAGAATCATCCTTCTGTGGTCATATGCCAGCAGGTGGTAAAACTGGGATTTCAGCTCAGATCCCTCTGACCTAATAAAGTCCATGTTTCTTAACTAATACCATGCTGTATCTCAGGCTCTCCTCTGGCTCCTGAGACAGTCTCTGGAGCACACACCTACTTGTCCACTGTCACAGTTAGCAACTGAGTAGCAATAGCAGTAAGTGACGCGACTTAGCCCATAGCTTGATTTGTAGTTGGTGTATATTGGGATGGAACTATGATTTGAATCAAGGTCTATGTGACTTTCTGAGGACAGGGCGCCAAAGACTTAGCTAGAAGAACAACTCCTCCTAAGCATATTCTCTTAGAGGATATGTGGTTTCAAGCTCCAAAACTCCGAGAAGGCAAAGCATAGTACTGTTTTGGTTTTTTTTTTTCTTTTTTCTCCCTGCCAGTATAATATGACTATCTTCTGAGAAGACTCACTCCTATTTTGATCATCACTGATTTCCCCTTTAATATTTGTTGAATGAATGATGAATTATGGAAAAAAAGATGCCACACAGTTGTACAACAAAACCCTTATGATTCACTCCTGAGCCATCTGTCCACAGACAGAGCCCTCGACACAGGCTTGGACGGCTGATGTCAAGCGTACCCTAGCCTCCTAAACCCCAGAGCAGAGCTGAGGGGTCGGCCGCAAGATCGAGGCCCAGCAGCATAGGCATTCAGAGTGGGTTTCAGACCCAGCACTGGCACGTTCAGTCGTTGGCTGGACAGTCGTAAAATGTTCATAGGGATTTGTGCAAAGTAGGTGAGGGACTATGTGTGGAAAGGCTTGTATATGCAATGTACACAAAATTCTCGTGAAGAGTGTAATAATCTGTACACTGGATATCCACCATCCCTGAGTCATCGGGGAGCTGGGTCCCGAGGAAGCTCAGCCCTTTAGACACGTAGAAGCTGACTACATAGGCTGACTACATAGGCTGGGTTGAGGTTTCTAAGTCAATGAGGGCTAATCTCCTAAAAACCACTGTTTTGTCACCCAGAGACTACTGTGGCTGGGGATAGGGATCTTTTTCAAATATTTTGTTTCCCTGCCTTTTAAATATGGTAAAATGAACATAATGTGACTTTTTCTTGACTGCTGGTCTCATCATTATGATTATCCATTATTGTATACACGTCTGCTACTATATTAATTGGCCCCACATTGTTGGGCTTCAACTTTTTGTTTCTAATTCGCCAGTTGTGTTTAAATGCCTCCCTTTCTGATAATGGCTACCCCTTACTGCTGTTGGTGTGCCTGCCTTCAACAACCACATCTTACCGTTTTAGTTTGGGAATGCTAATATGCTAGACACTGAGAAAGTAAACGTTCAAGGTTATTAGGCTTGTATGTACGTGGAGAGGCCAGTGGGCTCTGAGAGACATCCTCTAAATACAGTGGCAGGAGTTGTAGTGCACTGATTTTAGTGGTGACTCTTTTCTCTCTACAGGGACTTCTTTTGCTTCCCTCCTGGTTTTCTGTCATAGTCTGAACAGATGAACTTGCTAGGTAGATGTCTTCAGCAAAGTGAGGTGCAGCCATCTATTTATTTTGATGTCCATCACACTGTTCTCTAGAAGATCACCCAATAATCATTTTATTGTCAACATAGCTTGTATGATGCTACCCTATCATAATATCATAAATTGGGCATTTTCTTGGATGTTGTGAAGGATATTATCTATGTCATGTACTCTAGAGTCAGACAGAACTGGTTGGAAATCCCAAATTTAACCCCTGAGTACCTCTGTGAATTTGTATAATTCTTTCCAAGTCTCTGAGCTGCTCTTTCCTCCTCTCCAAAATGGGGGTAATAAATAGCTACTTCCTAAGATGTGGAGCTTAGGTGCTTTAATGCATTGTCTTCTTCAACGCAGTGCCTAGAATACTGTAGACAGTTGGCAAATTGTAATTGTGGTTCCTTTCTCATTCAAGTGCCTTTTCCCCCGAAAGCAAAATTGTGAGTCTTTTTCATGCTATCGAAAATTTTTGGCACAGAACCTCTTCTTCACTCCCCAAGGTCTTTGGAGAATGAAAACTCGTCACATCACAGAGCAGCCCTTCCATAGACAGTTGGGAGCTCTGGCACTTAGAAAGTTTCTTTGTGTCAAGTAGCAATTAGTCTCTGTTTCAGAAAAGAGCAAAGCCAGCTTCCATCCCTTGTAGCTGAGGCTGACGCTTGTTTTCTCTTGCTCTGCAGTGAACAGAGTATCTGCCAAGCCCGGGCTTCCGTGATGGTCTACGATGACACCAGTAAGAAATGGGTACCAATCAAACCTGGCCAGCAGGGATTCAGCCGAATCACCATCTACCACAACACTGCCAGCAACACCTTCAGAGTGGTTGGAGTCAAGCTTCAGGATCAGCAGGTGAGTGCTGGAGTAACAGGTTATACCTATGAACCTCTGCCACACACACGCAAGTATGGTGAAAAGAGATCAGAAAAAAATAAGGTCAAGATTTGGAGTCAGAGGACCTGGGTTCAAATTCTGACTCCATATTCTCATGCTCCGAGGTATGAGACCTTGAGCAAACTATCTTTTCTGAACTTCATTTTTCACGTCTGTCTTCTAGATTCACGTCAGTAATCCACACCCTGCCTACCTCACTGTATTATTGTTGTATTAGAATCAAATAATAGATGTGAAACAGCTTTGAAAAATATATTGTACAAATGTGTTAGTATTATTCTGTACCTACATATCCATAAGTAATATGGCTGTGAAGATTTTTGGTTCATCAACCCCCTAAGTCTTACTTTGGAAGGAATATCAAGATGATTTGAAGAACCTGGGATCATTTCTCTCCCTAATAGTACATCCTGGGCAAATCAGGTAAGATACTTGTTGAGTGTACGTGGTAAGTACCTGTGCAAATACAAGGTAAATCCACGAATAGTCGTGCACACATAACCAAGACCAAGTAGTCTGGTGTGACATGGACTAAAATAGAGACGTAGAGAAAGGGGTTGTGTACTTAACCACAGTGACTTTGGTTAGTACTTCAGTCTTCTCCCTCCAGCTCTCTTCTTTTAGAGATTGACAAGGACATTTTTAGCAGTGAAGTTAACAGATCTGTAGTTTCAGCATTTATGAAAAACTCTACCTAAATAGCATCTTCTGGCATCCTTTGTTGGTCAAGCCTTGGCTAAGTTGACCAGCAGGTTAGCTGCTGTCTCTGCAGGAATCAGCATGCTAGCATTTAAAAAGAGAGAATGGAAACTTAGGACTCTATTTTTAGTGTGTTGCCTATTGAATGGGTTTCTGCTTTGGCCAAAATAGCTCTGTTAAGTTTCAGATTCTTGTGGCTAAAAACGACATCCCCACTTCTGGACCCCTGATAAGAAGTAGTCTGTCTAACCTGGAACTCTTGGTACCTTCAAGGGCATCTCTTTCCCTTGTTGATGAGCCTTACTGGTAGGAAAGATTTCCTAGAAACCTTCTAGACGCTGCTTCCCTGTTCTTCCAGTTCATTGATTCTAGTCCTGCCTTTTAGAGGCACACTGTGGTATACATTGCAGGATGTATAGCACCCTTAGCCCCAATTATGGTGACAACCCAAAACATCTCACACATTTCCATAACACCATGGGTAGGGGCTGGTGTGGCAGGACCACCCTGGTACTCACCTTTGACATAAGGTTCATTACCTAGTTCAGTTCCTGAATCATAGTGGCTGTTCCCTAAGTGATTGCTTTTATTATGACAAGTTTTCCATTCCCTTCATGCCTGTTGGTTGCCCTCAGGGGCACACTAGGAAGATAGCATGGTGTGCTGGAGAGGGCACGGGACTGGAAAACTGGATTCCCTGAAACCAACAAACACCTTGTTCTTAGGGGCCTCAACACCTCACTGCTCCTTCAGAGGAAACCACAAGTTGGGGCTCATTTGGGAGGAAACCTTTTCCCCATGCCGGGAGGGACTAGCAGCAGTCCTCAATGATCTCCTGGATAAATTCAAAGAGGCTGTGTTGACTCTAACCTAAAGATCTCCTAGAGTCTGACAGAGAAGTTATCAACACAGCCTTCCACTTGGAATTGCATGTTCAAGAAACAGGCTCCTAGAATGCGATTGAGACTCTCTCCCCAAATGACGGGGAATGTTAGCTAGGAACGTGGAGAGATTCTTAGTAAACCCAGGCGTTAGAGAAAGTGACAGGAAACCTGGTCCATAATAACTTTGATGGACCTCAGGAGAAAAGATTGATTTTCACAGGTCTGTTTTCCAGTCAGTATGGATTACGAGGTCAAATATTTTGAGAGACAGAGATTCCTGATTTTAGAACCAAATAGGGATATGTTACATGTTTAATGCTCTTTATGGCTATGGAGCACTTTTCATGTTTATTATTTCAGTCTCCAATAATCCCATGAGGATAACGGTACAAGAATTATCATCCCTTTTTGCTAAATAGGTGGATATAGAACCAAGTGATCATTTCTGGAGAAAAGGACTGGTAAGTTATAGTATCATTAGCCAAGATCTAACCTGATCTCACACTGAAGATGAAAAAAACAAAAGATTTTTAGTTGAGAAGGAGTTATGGCCACCAGAAATATTAGTGAGTTCTCAGGCTGAATTAATAGAAGTAGAGGTCCAGAAGGAGGGAGACAATAGTCCTGCTCTGTTCTGCACTGGTCGTACTTCACCAAGAATATTGAGACCAAATGCGAGGGCCACAAACTGGAATCTGTAAGGAGGAGGGCATACAAACTGGTGAGAGGTCTGAAAGCAGTGTAATAAGTAGAATAATTGAAGGAATAATGAGATATTTACTTGGGGAAGAGAAAAACGGAAGGGGGCATGGCCACACTTTTCAAATCTCTGAAGGGCTGCCATGTAGAGGCAAAATCTCACTTTTTCTCTGTATTCCAGAGAACAGAACTAGGAATACTGCATGAATACTATAATGAAGAAGATTTGAAATCAATAAAAGGAAAAACTTTCTTACAGGCATACTGTCGAAAGATAGAATGTATTGCTTTGTGAGCCCATGAGCTAGCTGGCCATTTGCTAAGAATTCTGGGAGGGACATTCCATCATTGGGTAGAGATTTGGATGAGATGAGACCTCAAAGGCCTTTGCCAACCCCGTAGATTCTGTGGTTTTTAGATCCAGATGAATAAGTGGATCAGGAAGACAGTTCTCCACCATCAGTGTTCTTTTTCTGTAAAGGACTCTTGACTATTTTCACTCAGAAGCCTCAGAAACATGTTGAACAGTATTTGGAGTTGCAAGGCCTTCCTTTAAAAGAACAGCAACAGCACTCCCACTTATTCCTACACTCCCCAAAATAAAACATATGCAGACATTGTCATTGTGGGCTCCTGTACAAAAAGTGTGACCTTTTAAAATAAGGTTATCCTTCAGCAATTGTCCAGATTAGTCCTACCAAAGCTTGGAGAATTATTTTTAAAATAAAGCTGATAAAGACACAGATTGAAAGTAACAGAGTGGAAAAAGATAAATCTTACTAACACTAACCAAAAGAAACTAGTGTAGCTATATTAATATTATACAAAATAGACTTTAGGGAAGAAGTATTACTAAAGATAAAAAAGGACCTCTTTAATGATAAAAGGATCAATTGAAAAGGAATACATAACATTCCTAAATTTGTATGCATCTAATAATATATCTTCAAAATATATAAAGCAAAAATGAACAGATCTAAAGGGAGAAGTAGACAAATCCAGAAGCGTAGTTGGAGATTCTAATCATACCTCCAAGAAACTGACTGAACAAGCAGACAGAAATAAGTAAAGACATAGAAAATTTGGATAGCATTATTAACCAACTTGACCTAATTTACATATATAGAAACTATAGCCAAAAACCATAAAGTATACAGTGTTCTCAAGTGTACATTGAACGTTTACCAAAATAGACCATATGCTAGGCCATAAAGCCAGTCTCAACAAATTAAAAAGGATTAAAACCATACAGAGTATTTTGTTTGACTACAGAGGAATTAAGCCAGAAATCAGTAACAGAAGGATAACTAGAAAATCTCCAAATGTTTGGAAATTAAGCAGTACACTACTAAATAAGCCATGGGACCAAAAAAAAAAAAAATCACAATGTAAATTAGAAAATATTTTGAATGGAACAATTATGAAAATGCAATGTAGCAAAATTTGTGGGATGCAGCTAAAGCAGTACTTGTAGGGAAATTTATAGCTATAAATGCATATTTTAGGAAAAGAATGACTGAAAATCAGTGATCTAAGTTTCTATTTCAAGAAGTTAGAAAAAACAAAAGCGAATTAAACCCAACAAAAGTAATAAGGGAAAAATAAAGACAAAAACTAAAATCTAATGACATAGAAAGGAGATATACAATAGAGAAAAGCAAAACGTTTTTGGTTCTCTGAAAAAAGAGTCTCGATAGACCCATACATAGTATGGTCACTTGATTTATGACAAAGGCACTGTTGCATTCACTGAGGAAAAGATGGCCTTTCAACAAATGATGCCAGAATAATCAGATATCAATATGAAAAAAAATCTTTACCCCTAGTTCACACCATACCCCAAAATTAATTTACGATAGATCATCACCCTAAATATGAAAAGTAAATCAGTAAAATTTCTAAAAGAAAATACAGGAAAATATCTTCATTATATTGGGGGAAAAATATCTTCATGACATTGAATAGGACACAAAAAGCATTAACTATAAAAGAAAAAATTGAGTTGGTCGTCTTTAAAGTTAAGAAGTTTTCTTTATTAAAAAGACGCCATTAAGAGAGTGAAAAGGCGGGCCGGCCCTGTGGCTCAGCGGTTAAGTGCGTGCGCTCCGATGCAGGCTGCCCGGGTTCGGATCCCGGGCGCGCACAGACGCACTGCTTCTCCGGCCATGCTGAGGCCGCGTCCCACATACAGCAACTAGAAGAATGTGCAACTATGACATACAACTATCGCCTGGGGCTTTAGGGGAAAAATAAATAAATAAAAAATTTAAAAAAAAAGAGAGTGAAAAGGCAAGCTGCAGACTGGGAGAAGATATTCACTGCATACGTGTATGTGTATATATATAGGTGTATATATGACAAAGGACTCATATGAAGAATATATACAGAACTCCTACAAATCAATAAGAAAAAGACAACCTCTTTTAAAAATAGGCAAAAAGACTGTAAAAGGAATTTCACAAAAGAGCAGTGGAACAGAAGAAATGGCCAGTAAGCATGTGAAAGATGCTCTGCATCATTGTTCATCAGGGAATGATGAACAAATGAAACCACAATGAGGCAGTTCTACACACACACGAGAAAGGCTACAATTAAAAAGACTGATAATACTAAATGTTGGTGACGATGCAGAGCAACTGGAGCTCCTATGTATTGCTGGTGGAGCAGTAAATTGATACAGCCTCTTTGAAAAACAGTTTGACAGAACCTACTGAAATTCAGTACACACCTACCCTGTAACCCACTGCTGGGTATATAGCCAAGAGAAGTGAGAGCCTGTGTCCGCTAAAATACATGTATGAAAATATTCCTAGCAGTTTTATTCATAACAGCCAACTGAAACTACGCAAATGTCTGTCAACAGGAGAATGGATAAGTTATTTGTGGTATATCAAAAAATGGAATGTTATGTAGCAATCAAAAATAATTAAACACTTACAAATGCAATAGCATGGATAAATCTCATAGCCATGATGTTGAATGAAAGAAACCAGAAACAAGACAGTACATACCATATGAATCCATTTCCATGTAGTTCAAGAACAGGCAAAAGTAACTGATAAGTGTCAGAAAGTGGTGACGGTAACTGGTGATAAGAGTCAGAAACATGGTTCTCTCTGGGGAGGAGCATTGGGAGAGGGGCATTAAATGAAGCTGATCCACACCCCAAAGGGAACTTGCAGTCATGTACACGTTCTAAGCAGAGTAAACAAAGGGATGGAACCATTAGGTAGGTGCAGAGATTTTAACTATCAGCCGAGAGGTCTGTCTGACAGTTAATGAATGCTGGCTACCTCTCAACAGATGGTCAAATGACATATCGGCTATGTGTTACCTGCACAGACATCCAAAACACACTGCGTGACTCTCCTTTTTTCGAGGGCACTTAGCAGTACCTTTTCAAATAGTGAATGTAAATTTTTAGATGGTCGTGTCCGTTGGTCCAGCAGTTCTGCTTATAGAAATGTATCCTGTAGAAATACGTGTTCACATGGATATATGCACAAGGATATTCAGTGCAACATTATTTACCTACCTTCATTTTACCTATGAAGAAGCTAATGTCAGTAACTTGTCCAAAATTATTCAACTGCAGAGTAATAAAGCGAGATTTTTAACCTAGAACTGTTTGACTCAAAGCCCACTGCTTGTTCCTTGTACCTAGCACCATAGTTGTCTTCAGAGCAGTCTAGACTATTGTGGGCTGTGTCTAGCTAGCAGGCGGCAGGACTTGGTGAGCAACCCCTATACTCTAGGTATAGACAGAACAGAAATGGCAGTCCCATTTCTGCAGTCAGATGAGAGACCAGCAGTGTGCAGCAAAGAACCCAGAGAACTTCTAGAACAGGAATGTGTCCTCTAGAATGGCTCCCTTGCACTCTCCCAATCTAATATCTGAAAATCTCCACAAGTAGACAATTGATTTATGAGGCTCCAGAGGTTAGAGCTAGGACCAGATTGGGAATTATCAGAAGAAAGATTTTAACTCATTATACTGGCGATCAGAAGCAGCACAAAGTCCTAGGCTACAGACTTGGCTTCTAACTTCATTTCTACCATTAACTTACTGTGTAACTTGAACAGGTCACTCATTCTCCCTGGGCCTCAGTTTTCCCAACTGTAAAAAGAAGATTTGAGTTAGATATTCTCTGTGGTCTCTTTGAGTTCCTTTCACTGATTATTTTGGCCACACTGTTTCCATATTCTGGCTAGGCATCAGCCTCCCCCAATTCCCGCGTACCTTAAGTCTCCCTCCAAGAACATAGCCAACCAGAGATTTCAAATCATAGGATTCTAAATCTCATTTCCCCTGAACATCCCCTCCAGTACCTGGAGACAGTGGTCATGATACACTAAAGAGTCTTCTTTTATCTTGCTTCGGTATCCTCAACCATTCTTGACAGAACGTGGTTCCCAGACCTTCTTCCGTTTAAAACATTTCCCTCTGGCTTGCTCCAGTTTGTTAATGTCCACTAAAAGCAAAGTACCAAAAACAAAAACACCTGAACACAGAACTTCTGGTATGGACTTACCACGGCAGAAAAGAACAGGGTCTTATCCCTCACTCCGGTCACTACACCACTGTTAATGTGTCCTCTAATCTTAAGAGCTGTTGAACCACAGGTCACTATGTGTCTTATCGTGCATATATGCCACAAAACTTCCAGCCCTTTTTCTGACAATTTAGAGCTACACCTAGAGAGAGAACCACCCCAGGAACCTGGGTATAGATGTTGGTCAAAATTTCTGTGTGTCAGTATATAACAACTAAGTTATGAAACAATTGTGTTTCTTTAGCTGATTTAGCACACACATTCTCTTTCTTGCTTGTTCTCTCTCTCTTCACTATAGAACAACCCAAACCCACCTTCTGCCTGGCTAAGACCTGGATAAAAGCTGTTCTGGATATTGCCCATATTTGCTGTCCTCTGGCCTTGTTTTATCCAACAGCACAGCAGTACGGAGCAGTAAAGGAGAGTAATACATCAGAGCTCTCATCTTAGTGCCCCACCCAACTAGCAGAGTGTCTTGGCCATGTCCCTTTGTATCTCTGAATCTCTTCCTGAGCTAACCTTCCTGACCAGGGACAGTGGACAGAGTTATCTCCAACTTCAGATCACAAAACCCTGGAGCCTCAAAGCCAGAGGAGATCTGAGAAATCGTCTTGTACCTCTCCTAAAGCAAAGTTCCTTCCATCACATCACTAACAGCAGGCCATTTAGCTTCATCCAGACTCTGCTTGCATACTTTCATATCTAGGGACCTTAATATTTCTCAGTTAACACTTGTTGACAACCTGCTGTGTGCCAGCAGCTATGTTAGGTGCTTTCACATGCATAATTTAGTCCTTACAACACACTGTGAGGGTGCCATACCATAGCCATATCACATTCTTCCCCATTTTACAGTTAAGAAAACTGATGACTAATAAGTTCCCTGATGTTAGATCATGTGACTCCAAGCAGAGGGGATAGGGACACAGAATAATGGCTCTAGGCCTCCCACTGCTGTCACTGTGCCCCACATACTAAGTGTAGTCTTGAAGAACTTTGAAATAATTCTCCGTTAAGTGTCTGAAAGAGCAAAGTTTGGAGGTCAGGTGGACCTGGTATGGAATCCCCTGACTGCTTGTAAGCACCTGAGTGTCTACATTCTGTCTTAGTCGTCTCTGTATCTTTCCCTGCTGGGTCTGGCATTGCTCCTGACAGTCAGTTGATGTTTACTGATTGATTAATAATGAAGATATTAATAACACTGTATATCTGTGACGCCTTAACTTTTCCAAGTTATCCTTTTAGCTAATAACCCATTTGTTACTGCATTCTAGGTACTAGACACTACGCAGAGGGCTATGGGAGGCATAGTTATGAATCAGGAAAGACTCTTGCCCTTAAGGATCTTAGTGTCTAGAAATCTACATTAGATATGTGTCACAATGTGACCTCTGCAGTAACCCTGTGAGGTCGGTAGAGCCAGGATTATTATCCCCATTTTATAATTGGAGAAACTGAGCCCCAGAGAAGTGCAGTGACCGCCTTGGGTGACACAACTGGGAGGCAGGACCAGGACCACGACCCAGGGAACCTGACTCCCAGCTCAAGTCTCTCATCTGGAGGTTGAGACTACACAACATTATTTGTTAGGTGAAATAACTGGTTTTTCAAACCCTCACTGTTCTATGGATCATGTTGAAAAGACCCCTGGTCATGCTTTCCCCTTCTTCTGACCCCATCCTCATCTCCGTGTCCTCTTATAGCTGCAGGGGACACAGTATCCTTGCCCCATAGCAGCTCCCTCCAGCTCACTTACCTTTTATTTATTTACATGTGTTTCTCTCTTTCCCCTGCAGGTTGTGATCAATTATTCAATCGTGAAAGGGCTGAAGTACAATCAGGCAACACCAACCTTCCACCAGTGGCGAGACGCCCGCCAGGTCTACGGCTTAAACTTTGCAAGTAAGGAAGAGGCAACCACGTTCTCCAATGCCATGCTGTTTGCCCTGAACATCATGAATTCCCAAGAAGGAGGTAAGCGGGGCTTTGTCTTGGCCTGGTGCCGAGATCCTCTGCTGTTCTACCTCTGCCCTCCCACAACTCTGGCTCTCAGGGTGTTCTAGCCCACGACTGCATGGAGCTGATGTTACAGGGGTTCTCAGAGAAACCTGCTGCCTGCCTCTAGCTTTAAAGAGACATTAACAGTTGGAAGGAGGAGAGAATCACGTTTTACATCTTTTTGCCATTTGTGAGATACAGATTTCTACTGATGTGTCCCTAGAGCTATATATCCAGATATGTTTTACATTTTTCATCCTACTTCGTATTCTAGAACACATATTTAGCAGAGATGAGAGGGAACAAGGGACAGTTTATTCAATTATTAAATTATTCATTCATATGTTTAATAAACTTTTACTAAATAATTACTGAGTGTAAGAAACTGGCTAGGCAGAATAGATAAGAAATGAATAGATGGAGTCCTTCCCCTCAAGACACTTAGTATTTCGGAGTGGATTCATAAGCTGCTAATTATAATGTGTTGTGATCATCACTCTAATAAGGCACCAGCAGGGTACTTAGGGAATGCAGAAAGGGAAGTAAGTTCCTGCCCATCTGGGCTGCCAAGGGAGGCTTCTCGGGGCTGGTGACATTTGAGCTGGAGTTTTGAAGGGTGAAGAGTTCACAAGGCAGAGGTGGGAGTGGGCATTCCAGGCAGAGGGAACAGCAAATGCAAACAGCTGTGGACATGAAGGCTCGGCATGTGCCGGGAAAGAGTCTACTGCAGTGTGCCTGGGGCCTAGAGTGCAGATAGGAGAGAGCTTGGAAATGGAATTGGAAGGGTGGTGGGGATTGCACAGTGGAAGGCTCCTACCTGGAAGAATTTGGGTGGGCTTGCTATTTGGTGTAGACAGTGCAGGGGTGGGGTATTGGTGCTAGCAAAAGTTTCTAAGCAGGGCAGTTAAGCAAAGAAGCAAAAGTACACGTGGCTTTTATTGGAAATGTGCAGTGTCAGCTTCAGACGGAGGACAGAGGCTTTCCAGGGCACGGGTGTCTTGATGGCCATGGGTATGGTCTTGCTCTTTGCTAGAGGTCTGACCTTGGTAGAGCACGGTAAATAAGAACTGAGCTTGGAGTCACACTGCTCGGTTTGAGTCCTGGTTCTGTCACTTTCTAGCTGAGGAACTCTTGGACAAGTTACTTCATTTTTCTGTGCTGCAATTTCCTTATCTATAAAATGGGGGTGATGTGGGATTATTTTTATGTTTACATGAGCGAGAATGTAAAATGTTTAGCAGGCTGCCTGCAAATAGTAGTCACCCAGTATTAGTATTTGTGAGTATTATTACTCTCATTGCTGCTGCTGCTGCCAGAACTGGAGTGGGAAGTGGGGAGACATGGTTCTTACAACCTGGAGGGAGCTTTTAAATGTCTGCTGTGCCTGATATGTTGGAGCTTTGGGACCCAATTTAAACCCTCGAAGAATTTTTTTAAGTAAATACAGAACACGTTTTGAGGATGCTTCCCATAGGTCGTACACAGAACGAGTGGGGACTTGTAGGGTGCTTTCCCGCCGTGGAAAGGCTCCAAGGTTTGCAGTTTTTCTGCGGAGAACTGGGCTGTGTGGTGAGGAAGCTGCCCCACCACAGCGGTATTGAGTGACAAGCACAGGGCCTGAAACATGGTAGGCACCCAGTGTTTATTCAGCTGTCTTTTTTCCACCCAAGAGCCTTGAGCTTCACAGAACAGTGAGTCGAGTGTAAAGTTTCCCATCTGAACTACCTCACCTGCCCTAGGATGTGCGAGTTAATCTTTATTTTATCTGTACATATGGATACATTGAGGGGCAAAAAAAAAAAAGGTTTTAGTTTAATCAGATGACTAACTTTTTCAGAGCAACTGCTTAAATTAAATAAAAACTTCTAATTACTTTATTAAATTCACCATAAAATCACAAGGAAATCAGTTAATCCACTTTCATTTTCAAATAAGAAAACTGTGACCCATTATGAGGAAATAACTTACTGGTGTCAGGTAGTAATTCAGATCCAGAACCCAGACCTCCTATGTCTCCTTTGGGTTGAATGGATATCTTTGTCGGGGTGAGAGTGGGGGGTCCCCAGCTGGTTTGGGGTGTGTGCTCACAATATGAGAGTGGCTGATTTCTAGCTTGCATCAGGAGTAGCAGTTGCCCATCCCAGTTTGTTGGCCGTAGCCCAACTTCCTGCTTCTATAGGCATGACCTTTCATGGAGGGGAGGTCCTGGGCCCACTGCGAGTTAAGCTTTTTCTTCACCTGAGGTGTAACCTACCCACACTGCCATGCACAGGACTGAAATGTGCAGCTCGATGAGCTTTTACACGTGCGTATGCCAGGTCCCCCCGCCAGGTCCTGATGGAGACCATATCCCTCTCGCTCCCTCCCCCGGGACAACTAGGATGTCAACTTCTACAATGACAGAGCAGTTTTGCCATGTTTGAATTTCATGTAAATAGACTCATGCAGTGTGGACTTTTGTGCCTGGTTTCTTTCCCTCAACATTGTGTGTGAGGGATTCATCCCTGGAATTGGGTGTCTCCGTAGTCAGTTCTTTGTCACTGCAGTGTGCTACTCCATGATGTGCTGTGCACATTGATCCATAGTTTAGCCTTTAGAGCTCATGTAGTACACAGACAGCCTCTCTACCACCCATCTCTGTCCACCAGCGACGGCCTCTTGCTGCCAGATAATTGTGATGCTTTTGATTAAATCCTGTCAGTATCGGCAAATTCCATCCTACCCTCCCTCGGTGGGAGGCAATTTGCTGTAGTGAAAAAAGCACTAGTTTAGGGCAGCTATATCTTTTTTTTTTTTTTTTTGATTTTATTTATTTATTTATTTTTTCCCCCCAAAGCCCTAGTAGATAGTTGCATGTCACAGCTGCACATCCCTCCAGCTGCTGCATGTGGGATGCGGCCCCAGCATGGCCGGAGAAGAGGTGCGTCGGTGCGCGCCCGGGATCCGAACCCGGGCCGCCGGCAGCGGAGCGCACGCACTTAACCGCTAAGCCACGGGGCCGGCCCAAGGTATATCTTATATTAAGTCTTTGCTCTGCCACCTGTGGCCTTGGGATAATAAACCCTACTTCCTGGGGTTGTTATGAAGATTAAATTTGAAATGTTTATAAAGCACTTAGCGTATCATGCCTGGTATGTGATAAGAACGCAAATAATACTGGTTCTTTCCCTTTTGGTCTTGTTAAGTGTGGTTATCTTCTGTAAGCTTCAGTGTCCTTATTTGTAAAACAGGGTCATAAGTCCCACTTACAGAGTTGTGGAGAGGATCCAAGGGCCCAGTGTGGCACCTGGCACCTCATCAATGGTCACTCGCTACTCCTTCCTCTCCTCACTGGCATGTCCTGTTCTGTGGTGGGCATCTGGGGCGTTCAGATGTGGGCGAAGGAGAAGCAGCACTAACTCCGTGCAGCCCCCGTTGGTGGAAATGGAGGGCTGCAGCCTCGTGTGGTCATAGCTGGCTATGTACATTTCTGGCCCCTGCTGTTTACAGAGCTTGGCTCACAGACCATGTGGCCCAGCTTTTCTGGGTCTTTGGGTGCTGTGTGACAAGGTGTGATGGCCAAGGATGGTGCATGTGCTTAGGTGGGAACTCAGAGTGGGGATTCTTTGGCCTAGTTGGTTGACAAAGATAATAACTATAGTGATAGTAATAATATCTAGACTTTCTTTTCAAAGCTGAAGCTTTTATTTCTTACCACGCTCCTTCTCCTATATGCCCCTTCCCTGACCTTCTTATGGAAAGGCCCCCCTAACCAAACAGCCAAGGAAGGTGAGGGCCCAGCAGCCACACAAGAAGACCTTATCTGGCTAAGGAAGTGCTTCCTTATACTCTAAAGTGCTTATAATTTGGCTTTTATTTCCAGTAGATGGTCAGGCCAGCTACTGTTATACATGTTTATTCAGACAGGGGGTTGAAATTTAAAAAGATGACATGTCTGCCAGCATCGTCCAACAGAACTGAGACTCAAATTTAGGGCTTCTAGTATGAAATCCATTGTTTTTTTCTACAACTCTGCACTGCCTCAGTAGGTCAGAGAGGAAGGCCAACAAGCCAGTGTTCCATGAGCCCAGCCTGCACCCACAGCTCCAGGCGGGCTTCTTACTTTGGGGATCACAGGGGCTTAGGCAGGGGCAGTGAGTGTGGCTCCTGGCAAGGTACAGCCACTTGCAGAAGGATGACCAAGGACACAGGCCTCAGTGTCAGTGGGTCTGCATCGTCACAATTGCTGAATCACTGATGTCAACTCCAGAAAGCACTTACTGAGACTTCCTCTCTGCTGTCTTTAGTGGGAGCCCACCATCGTGTGGCCAGTTATCCAGCAGGGGGAGGAATGTGTACAGGTCGCACTTTGACTCCCCGCCCAGCTCGGCTTCCCTCCTCCTACAGTTTATTCTCTTAGCAGATATCAGTTCACAATTTAGTAGCCTTATAAACGCAGTTGCTTCTTTATGCTTTTATGTATATCTACTTCTGACTCACTATGTAACCTTAAACAGGTCACTTCTCTGTGGGCCTCAGTTTCCCCATCTTTGAAAGGAGGAATATGGACTTGATCAAGATCTCTACAGGTCTTGCTAGCTCAAATGGCTTATGGTTTTGTGTATGTTGTCTGGGCAGGAGTGAATTCTAGTTCACTGCTTGCAGACATTGTCACTGTGGCTGTTGCTAGGAGCAGGTAAAACCCTGTGAAGAAGCTGGAACAGCGGAATGTTCTTCTTTACCTCCTGAAGGACCCTAGCACATCTGGGAGCCAGGATCCCTCATCATCCATAGTTGCTGTGTCAGTCAGTCCTTGTTTATTATTAAAAAATAGAAAATATGGACAAGCATACAGAAATTACCTCTATTCCTACAACCCAGAGATAATTGCTATTAACACATTGATCCTTCCATACTTTTTTGTGTTCATATATGAATGGCTATTCCCCAGAAATAGTCTATACATACTGTCTTGTAACCTGCTTTTCTCACTTCAC